GGTTACCACTTTATCTAACCTTTATCTAACCTTTTCTTTAGTAAAAAATGCGTTTTAGCATTTATAAAGCAAAAAACTTTCAGCAGAATATTTAATATATTGCAACTTATTATTAAACCGTTGTGCAACAGTTTTATTGAACGCACTCATTTATTCTGTTGTAAATAATTATCTTCAAATGAATCAAGATTTTTATTTATCGATTATTAAAAATAAAGAGATTATTATAATTAGAATAGTATCCTTACCTTCTACCACCATTATGGCAAGTGTCCCAATCGTAATACATCCAGAGGAAATATAGTAATAAAAAATAGCGTATCGTTTCTGTGTAGAATATAAGATAAATTGTAATTAGATATCCCCAAAAATCTCCGAAAGCGGTGACAAAAATCCATATCGCAACAATTAATGTTTGTAATCTTCTTTCCAGAGGTACGTTTAACGGTGCAAATTTCACGCCCAGAATTTCCATGTTTCTTTCTAAATCTTCGATCAAAATTCAAATCATCAGAGAGAGTTTCGGAAAACCAGTTTCAGTTAACCTGTATAGGTTCTGGTTCTATTAGATAATACAGAGAAAAATAAAAAACTACTAGAAATAAAAAACTTGATCTAGGTCCAAGTGCCACTAATGTAAAATTAACTTTAATTTCGATTCAATTTATTTTTCTTCTTATCTTTTTCTAGTTCTAAGAATTGAGAGAAATAAAGAAATAAAGTCAATCTTACATTGGTAGAAGCCTGAGCATAGGTCAATTAGTTTTTTTATTAGAAATTATAAGTAGTGTTTTATTTTTTCTGTGGATTTAATATGCATGGATATTTTATCAAGCGAATGCACAAAGTCTATCTTTGATTTCAACAAGAAATGAACTTTGTACTTTATCTATTCTATTCCAACAGCTTATTCATTACAGTCATCAGTACAGAATCGCAAATCGATTGTTTATTTAATTCTATACGCCAGACGTTTTCATTATTATATCTTTTTTCTATCATAATTATATATTTTTATTTATACATATATAATAAGACATATATAATAAGAAGAGTGAAAAAATGCTTCAACATGAATAATTATTATAATTACATATTTATACATGTCTGCAAATTATGATCGCAAATTATTGATTATGAATTATCTCCTTTTCTTTCCCCGAGCTTTAAGTAAAAGTATTTCTTTTTACTTAAATTCTTTTATTCACTTAAACTTCTTTTAATCATAAAAAAATATATAAATAGTATAGCCAATTTTTCGCGATATGTAATTATTTTTTGTCGCTACGCTGAATTGTGCTTTCTATCTCGCTTTCGCTAAATTTCAAAAATATATCTGTTTCATTTTAAGTACAAGTGAGTGCATACTAAGTCTAACTAATAAAGAACAGACTTAAAAGCAAATACTCCATGATATTTTACTATTTAATAGAATTTATTATAATAATTATTAATTTCACATATAATTTCATAAATTTATAGTGCCATATATACTGATTTGAAATTTTGAAAAGAGAAGAACGAACTGCCTTATCATTATCAAACTCTTGTATTATCAAATAGATACCGAAACAATTTCGAATAGTTATCTAAAAGATATACATTCATATTTGAAGATAAAGCCCAGCTAGCAGATAGATAGACATGTGAAGATATAATTGTAAAAATATCAGATGTATTTGCTAAAAATATTTCAAATATCGCGTTAGCTTTATTTTTCATAGACATAATAATAAGAATAGACTGCACTTTTCTATGAAGTTGTTACTATCCGTTTATAAAGAGTAAAGTATTTTGAATTGTGTCGTTCTCTCTCTCTCTCTCTCTCTCTCTCTCTCTCTCTCTCTATCTCTCTCTAAGTTGAAAAGAAATACTAACAGAATTGAAGAGAAATGTAGTTACGATTCAATATTTTTTAACAGAGCATAGATCCGGGAGCTAAGCAAGAAATACGTAATCTATACCTGATCTAGACTTACTTATTTTTGTAGTATTTTTTGTTCGTGTTTGATCTATTTCTCTATTCATTTATATTTTTTTAGGTTGTAACAAATTTAACCAAATAGATCGATTCTAATTTAAATAAACCTAACGGAATTAACAAATAAATTACTATTGTTCAAAAATATTTACATTTAAATTTTCATATAAACTAAAATTTTCAAATATTGTGAAACAAATTTAATTTATAGTACAACATCTGTTGTAAGCGTATGTGCTAAAATTCGAGTGATTTTACTCCGAACAGTTCGATCACACGTTAAGATTTACACTTTTCAAATTTACCTAGTTTGCTGCGGTTATCGGCAATAAACGGATAGAAACTTTTGGATTGCACTTTTTCTTTTAGTATAACACTAGGTAGATTATCGTTTTCTACAGATGAAATAGTACGTTTCAACACAATACGACAGCGTATACACCGTATATAAATATATTTATACCTGCGAAACTTTCACATGGAACGTTTGGCATGGCGTCATGTGTCTTACTAGTTGGATCGTCGATGATACAAAGGAAAAGCATGTCCGACGAAGTATAGTGGTTGCTCATTCACATATGCACAGACAGATGGACGATTGTCCGTGAACGAAGTTCTAAGTTAAATCATTCAGTCAAGATCCGATGTTGAACTCATTTATTTCAGTGTAAATGCAGAATTTATCTTTAATTACTTAACAGTATTACTTATTGATTTATCTACTACTACTTAAATAATTAGAGATAAATCAATAGTAATACTTAACAGTATTACTATTGATTTATCTCTAATTATTTAACTGAATTGTGTGGTCTTTTAGATTATACATCATTAATTCATATTTTGTCACATAAATTTATACATAAAAGAGAAAGTTGATGAGCCTCTACTATATCTAAACCATTCGATTATCGAAACTGTTTTGTCATTCAATATATTTGAATAAGTTCTACTATATTTAAAAAATATATATATATAAGTTTGAATTTTAATTAAAATAAAAATTTTTTATTCAGATTTTTCTAGCATTAACATTATAATTATAATTCATTTTAATCATTATAATATTATAATTTAATAAATATTATAGGTGCTTTCCATTTGATGACACAAATCGAATACAAGTTGATATCATTCTATACTTCTTGATATTCAGAGAATAATAAATAACATAAAACGACACTTGTGTCGACTTATATCAATATGTCATCAAATGGAAAGGATTCCATGTTAGTATACAATCGCATGTTAAATATTATTAATAAGTTATGATTAAATATGTTATAAGAGAATTCGAGAGTGATGTTCTCTGCATTTTTTATGTAATTATGCTTTTGTGTATTGAAGAATTTAACCAAATGTTTTATAAATTTATCGTAATATTTGTTAATCTCTTCAAATATAGGTTCTTTTATCTTGGATAATTTCATAAGGCTGTCAACTAAAATGAAAAGAAACAAAATGAATAATTAAATATAAATAAATATAATATATACAAAATTACAATTACATAAAGAAAATTTTATCAACTATGGTGACGCGGACATAAAAAATAATTAAAGAGATAATTTTCGCATTGTTTATTTTAGAAAAAAACAAGTTTGTAATTGCTTATACATAACTATGCATAATTTAAAAAATAATTATATGTAAGTAATTTTTTTACATTTCTTCAAACTTAATTTTTTCTAAAACAAATAGTGCGAAAATTATCTTTTTAATTATTTTTAATGTTTTTACATTATT